TCTTAGTTCTCCCCTAAGGGGGGGGAATATAGTTTGATGTGGCATTAAGTCAGAATTTAGTGTTCTAGTAACTATGGAATGGTAAAGTAAGAATGCGATAAAAATGAGAAAGGGATGAGATTGCACTCATTCAAATCCTACAGATATGCTATGATTCCGGAACATTATGCAAACACAATGTCAAGGAAAGGAAGTAAGGGTTCCTGCCCGAGATGTTATTGATAAATAAGGAGCCAGTGCGAGAGGTAAGTTAAGACAAAGGAAATAACCCGATAAAGATTACACGGAATATTGATAAGAGAGTAGACCAACGAGTGATTAGTAGTTGATCACGAAGAGCCTAGTTATGGATAGATAAGAGGATACAAACAAATCAATAGATCGTGCATGATAAACAGGGTAAACCCCAACATGGTGAATTCAGTCTCACAGATATGACATCATGACCTTGAGAAATATTCTGATAGGAGTTGGGGTAGTTAAAGATACCGTATAAGTATTATGGAATAAAAAGAGACTCCCACCGGGAAGACAGTCAAATATCAAGTTCAGAAGCAACCCTACAAACACAAGGGCATAGAGGTAAGTAACTACGGATAATTATAGGTGAGGAAAGACATCAAAAAATTCCGTTGAGTATACGATATAATAAGCTCACGGATTTACAAGAGTCAGAGGATCCTCCCTAAGTACTACAATGAAAGACTAGCTGAGGAAATAAGGAAGAAGGCTTCAACCTAAGCACAGTGACCTAAAGAGGAAATCATCGTGTAACAACAGTCTCACTACAAAATTGTATGTACTCCAAAAGAAAGTGGCCCCTATCGTGGCTATGAACGGGAAGAAAAAAAATCAAAAGGTGATATTCAAGATCTTACTGGTTTTACGGAATTCCAATATGTGTAGGCACTAAGATAAGCCAAGTATTCATGCAATGAGCGGTAAAATGACCAGAAAAAGTAATTGCTTACATTTAAAGAAATCTGAGAAGGAACGGAAGGAATTATTCGATCAATAATCCAAAGTTAGTTACATTATGAACGCACTTAAGATTTCGGAGTATTATCCATGCAACATATATGTTTCTAATCATACAGTCATAGAAGACTCCAGTATAAGTTAAAAGAAAGAACTGAGTCCAGGTCGTAGACAAGGGATTGAATTGTTAAAAGATTGTATCCTGGATATTCCATAGAGTCCATGAAAGGCTAAAGTAATACCATGAGCCGCAGATCAGAAGATAGCTTAAGCATAAAGGCTGATCAGAAAGAGGAGGAAATTAAAGAGTTATATCAACGAAGTAAATCAGGAATCTGATTATTGGACCAAAACAATAATTATTGACCTCGTGATTGAGAATATTGCAGGATTACTCTTAGATATCAGAGGTACGAGAGAGATAGTATAATAGCCATATTCTATAACGACTCTATGATAAATCCAGTCAGAAGAGTACCAGTCTCATAAGAAGTCAGTATGAATCTCCCACCGGATTGTGCATGCACCAAAGGTGCAAGTGTTATAATAAAAGCTTCAAGTTGTGGATGTGAATTGTACCTATGTGGAAAGGAGGTCATGAAAGAGATAGAAGATATGATGCGAGATTTTAAGGCAAAGGTAAACAACGTACGAGATACTCAAATGCAGAAGGTTGTGAACAGTTCATACTTCGGATAAAAGGCTAGAAGCGCAAGGATTCAGTATCCAGGAATGAGAGCGGCATTCTCAGTGGCATATCTTACAGCCTATGGTTTCTAGGTACTGAGAGATCTAGTCAAGAGAGCAAAGAAGAGTTGGAGACGATATGATGTCTCGCTTGATGTTCCAGAATAACATAAGAAAATCTATGGTGCAAGCAAGTTGAAGGAAGGTGGCGAATAATATAAATAGATATGTGTAGGTCGCAAGCTAAAGTATGGTAAAGCGACAAGGTTTTAGGAAGACAGGAGTAAGGATAAGAAAGGGCGAGTGAGAAGGTGACGAGAATGGATAAGTCCTCAGGATTAAGCCCATGAAAATAAGAAGAGCTAATGGTTTCTCTAAGTTATACAAAACTCAGTATATCCTAAATGAACTCAAAGAAGTCTAAGACTAATGGCATTTAGAAGAGATGGAATGCCGCCTTGATAGTACAATGAGGGTGTAATTGTGATAGATAAAGGATGGAGTTTTGGCCTTCGATTGAGTAATGATTTGAAGAGAATTTCATGAATTGCACGGGATTAAAATACCCGCATAAGTGAATCACATTGGGATGCTACAAAATAAGGTTATTGAAGTACAGTATCGCCGCTAAGTGGATCAGGAAAATCACTTCAAATATTCCTCGATGCAACATAAGCCCTAGTGGCAAGGTATTACGTAAGAAGTTTCAAGTCATCAGTGGTATATTGTAGATCAGTATTGAGGTGAATCAACAATGGATGGACAAAAGTCACAAAGTATGAGATGAGATTAGGCCGTCATTCTTAAGATGAACAGTAATGAGGAAACATTAAAGGACTTAGATTTATACATATGGGATAAGCAACGAAAGTAACCTGGAGTTCGATAGCAGACCTCAGTACGATAAATCGAAGTAAGAGTTATGGTATAGTATGACCTACCTAGATGCAGTAAAGTCATACGAATGGATAACCGGGTATATAAAATAAGATATAGCAATATTCGTAAGTTCAACAAATTATCGAGCAAAGAACTTCAGTATACCTATAGATGCCTAGAGAGACATCTTATCAAGCTCTGTATATGCTTACAAAGTGAGGCCTAGAGATTGGCGAAAAACTGGAGGAAAAAAGAGAGAAAGAGTCGCATAGGCGCACATACAAGGAAAAAGTCGTACAGGTTGTATGACAGAAGGTAGCAAGAGTTACGAGATTGGAAGAAATCCGACCACAGACCGTGGTGTGAGAAATAGGCCTAAAGGTGGAATGCCCTAGCCTTCGGATTTATTCAAAGAACAATTGCCTAAATGGAAAGAAGAGTATTAAAGTATTCGCAAGAGCTATGGGTTATGAGAATGATAAGTGCATCAGTCAACATTCGAGGAGGAATGTTCCAAAGGGGGGAATGATGTTACACCACATATTTTCGTACATAAAAGTACGCCATGAGTAAATTGATGAAATCTCGAAAATGAGATATTACATCCTGCATTTTCGTACGTTAAAGTTTTGTCGTAAGTTAATCGTTGTAAGTTCGGGAATGAGATTATTTTGAGATTATAAGCATTATGCTATTTCAAATAAGTGACGAGTAAATTCGTGAAGGTGGGAGGGTAAGAACATCGAAGAAAATGAATTTCGTCGAAGTTTGACATTTTGGGATAAAATACGGCCCGAGCTAAAATACCCGGTATTTATGGACTAGTACCATACAAGGTACCACATGGCCATGATAGTAAGGTGTATAAAGTGTATTAAAAGTGAGTAGTATTTTATGTAATTTGAAATAATTCTTAATTATGTGGATAATTGGATAATTATAAATTTTTAAGTGGGAGATTAATTTGTAAATTGGATTTTGTGGATAATTATTTAGGTGAAGATTTTGGATAATTCTAAGGGGACAACCTTCACGTGGGTTTATGAAGACATGACAGCAAGTTAAAGCCAATTTAATGATTCTTAAATTTATGTGAAAGGTGACATTTAAGAGATTTTAAAGCGGCTAAAGTAAGCCTTATAAGTGGGGCCCACACCGCTATAAAAAAAGGACCTTTATAATTTATTTCATTCTTTATAAGAAAGAATGTCATAAGGATCTGCTTTTGGCAAAGTAAGTTGATTCAACAATATTCTTAGTTATCCCTTGCAAACACGTAGAAAGGGAAGTTTATATGAGTCATCCTTACACTTTATCTTCAATTGCTATCAAGAATTCACTTGGGGGACAATGTTAACAGCAAGTGCACAAGATGCGGCATATGAGTTATATAAAGAGTTTTACTTGTATGAATCTGTCGCAGTCTCGTATAATAATTATATATGTTATAAATAGTTATTATTTGTGTAGTACAAAAATAACATGTGGATGCTTTCTTATTTGCTTAACCCAATAAAAGTTTTCCACTAGCATATGTTGTGGTTGATTATGAAAATGATGCTTCCTCAGAATGATTTTTTGAAATGTTTAGACAAGCTTTTGGGGAAAGGGAAAGCATGTGCATCGTATCCGATTGTCATCCAAGCATATTGAGGGAGGCTTCAATTGTGTATCCAGGTTTTCCACTATGTATGCATCTTCTATCTTTGGAATAACATAAAGAAGCAGTTCAAGAAGAGCTATGACCGGCTGAGCAGTTCTAGAGTATTGGTTGGCTTGCTCGGTATTGGATTTGGCTTGTTTGAGTTAAGAATCCTATCTAAACTTGGTTGAGGCACTAGTTGTCTGAATTATTTGTGATAGCTATGTGCTATGGGTGTGCGCATGTATGGGGTTTGAATCCATGTGCTGACATCGGGGGTATTTATCCATGCTCGGGTTACGTTTGGCTATGATAAGCCTATAATTGATTGTTAAGCTTTAAGCTATGATGTTTCTCATATTTGTAACATTGTATGAACTATTTGAGCCGTGTTTGAGGCTATATAGAGGTTTAATCCCTGAATGAACTTGATAAATGCTATTATGTGATGAAATTGCCGATTTGAGCTATGATAGCACTACACCAAAAGAGACTTTTAGTGGCAATAAATTTTCCTTTTGGCGGCAATCGTTATTGCTGCAAAAATATTTACCGGCAATTGATTAAATGCCATTGGATCCAAAGTCGCTAAAGCCTCTAGCGGCATGTATGCCAAATACCGGTAAAGATCCATTTTATTCTAAAAATAATTACTTTTATTGGCATTTATTTAGCGGCAATTACTATAGCCACTAAAGCTATCTAAGAACTGTACTATCCTACATATTATGTGGCTTTTGTTATTGCCGGCAAAAATGCAATAATTGATAATAAAGGGTATATATTTTAGTGACAATTATTATGGCAGCAAAAATTGACCATAAATTCACTTCAATTCACATATTTAACCGAGTACTATTTTATAACATCAAACACAAGAACAATCAGTTACAAGGCTCATACTAGAAGAATTATCACTCATAATGTCATTCACTTAAAACAAGAACTATCAAACTCAACACATCAACTCATATAGCGACTTGTAAAAGATGTAAGCATCCTAATGTACAAGACAACTAAACTTTAGGTTGTAGACCACATCCCTTATTAACAATGTGATATTCTTGATCTTCTTCTCCCTCATTGACGATGTGATATTCTCGGCATCTATATTTAGCATGATCTTGAGTCGAATATTCTTGTATAAATTCCTGTATTCAACATCACACAGTAAGAACTTGCAGATAAAATATATATTATGACACACATGAGAGCAAATCCAACAATATAGCAGGAATTAAAGTACTAATTTTTGTACCATTTGAGAATCAATCGTACTATGAATCAACTTGTAATATATATAATGTCTTGGAACAGTTTGTTAAGTTAGCATCATAGTAAAATAGCTACTCCTTTTAAGCAAGATGTCAAGGTATTAAACCAACAGAGACAATTAAAAGTAAGATAACAGAGCCATGTTTGATATTATGCTTCTCAAATCATAAGACCACATCTTCGTGAAAAACAGAGAGATTCTAGTAGAACATGGAAATACTTTATTAATACAATCTAAGCCTTAAAAGCAAACTATTCTACAGAAAATAACTTTTGATATAGAGGCCTTTGTAGTTTGTACCATTCGTAAATTTCATGACTTCAAGCTAAAACCAAAATCACCAGCTTTGACTATATATTCTTTAAGGTCAAATACAAAGATTAGCTTAAAACTCCTTGTTTAAAGACATGTTTATTGTACTTCGCTCTATAAAAATCTAATATTGATCTATCACTTATTGATGGAAGGGAATTTGTCCTGTTAGAACTCATATCTTTAAGGTAATACAGAAGAAGAGTTGGGTCCCAAGTTACAAGGAATTGATGATAGTGAGGAGAGTTAGAAGTCACTACTAAGAAAAAATTAAGGATATGCCTTTCAGGTGTTTTCAGGATTCCAGCTACAAGAAATGATAAAGAAACAGCTGGAAGAAGAGACATAAAATTATGAGGATCACTCCATCATTTGAAGCCTCTACAGGTTATGATGCATTAGACATGAAAAGCACTACAGAGAAGCGTACTTAGTGAAGAGTGAGCCACTATAAAATTGTATAAGAAATCATACAACTGTATTTGAAGACTCCTCATCCAACGGTCTACCATCCTTAACGCTTTGTCTAGAAGATCAATCCTTGGTCCATCACTCCATCAAAAGACTTCTTAGAGTAGCACCTAGAAGAGTCAAATTATATTTTAAAAACCACAATCTTCACTGAAGTGCAAGAATTGAAAATTGAATACTAAAGTTTGGTAAGTTAGAAACGAAAATAAAATGCAGCACAGAAATCTACATTATCAGCAAATATGTAATTGAACATACCGTTATAAGCTTTCCAACATTCTCAGGTATCTTACTAACTTTAATAGAAACAGCAGCCTCCAAAATAGATGCCAGCCTGATCATTGAAATTTCAAAGATTGCTTAATCATTCCCAAGAAAACATTTACAACAAAGAGAAAATTACAACAAAGTCCAAATGTTGTCCTTTTGAGGATTTTAAGATCTATAGAAGGACCCATCTTACAACAAAAAGTGGAGGATGTGGCACCTATGCATAAACACCACAACTCTCCTATAAGAAATAACAGGGAACCACGTCTTCAAAAATTTACATATCTGCGGTGGTAAACAAAAGCAGGTCTCATACAATGTGGCACCATGTGGGGCTTTCATTTCTATTATTCTATATTCCTATAGATTCAATAATGTAAAATGCAATATTGAAAAAGTATTTAGATATTGATATGGCAGAATGAACCTTCTATAGCAATAGGCTATACCCACAGTTGCAAAATTACTCACAATCTATAGTGTTGGGTTGGAAATTAGTTGTACTTCATATAGCGTATCCTCCTCTTCCTTTGCTGCAGAAATAAAGTTATGAAGGTTATTCCAAACAAACTGTAAAACCCATGAGTCCATCTGAAAGCAATGATCATATTTCACCAAGTAATCAGTTTGATACTTACACCTAAATTCTCATCAATGCTGAACTAGCATTCCAACTCGAGAAGATATCAAATATTTTTTTGTAACCTGCTAATACAACTGTGCAAACAATCATACAAAAAGATTGAAGCTTAAACGAACTACTTATAACAGTAATAATTTTAGATTGCTTCAGACTTGATATAATCATTGCATTAAGAAAATGAAATTCAACATAAATTGAAGGCATTTTCACGATGTTCTAATGAGCCGAAATAAAACATAACCGAGGTATTATTGTCGAGCATAAGCACATCAGACTATTCCTTATCAGGTGCTGACTGTCGTGCTTACAGCACTACTAATCCCATGATTTACATAAAAGCTATAACATAACAAGAACAAATCTATCAATTACCAGTCATATTGCACTTCCTTAACACCCGAGATAACAACACAACCTGTAAGAAATACCAAAATTACTGTGAGAATATAACTACTCATTTCATACTAATAGCAACAGTGCTCGATACACTAAAAATTCCACAACTAATGTAAAACAAGTAGTCTGAGAGGCATTTTCACAAACAAGTTAGCCGCAAAAATGCTTGACTACCACGACATACACCGATTTTGCTCTCAGAACGTAACAAACAACATTATTTTTTTTCTCTGTTCTCTCAAATCAATCAAAACACCTTGGAACATCGCTACTCTCAATTTCATTCCCCGGTTTTTCTTTCAGAAATAAGGCACTAGATTATTACTGATTTTGGAACTATGAGAATAGAAACCCTAACAAATGCTCGATAACAAGAGGGAGGATAGAAAATGGAAGAATTTACCAGTCATTTTCACCGGAGAAAGGCATAGCGGGTTTGTCAGAGATTGATCGGAGACGGTATCACGATCGCTCAAAGTGTTATATGGGCAAAATTTTGTTTAGCAAAAAGGACTAATTGAGTAAATTGATTCTGAAGAGAAATAAAACATTCTTCTCAATCGAGGGAAAAAAATGGAGAGAAGACATAAAAAATGATCCTTAGTCTGTTCTTCTCCATTGCCACAAAAATATTTTTATTAACGGCAAATGGTCAATTGCCCCCAAATATTTGACTTTATTAAGTGAATTAGCGGCAATTATCTTATTGCCACCAAATATTTGCCACTAAAAGCCATTTTTGTTGTAGTGGATTATATAGCACACTGTGCACATGCCTACACTATAATATATCATTTATATCAGTCCAGGAGCATTGGATTTGCCATTCATTCATCACATACGTGTATTCTTGTTTAATTGCTCCTGTGTGATATGATTGGACTGGATGCATGTGGACATGCCAAGCGGATTGTGTTGTTATGCCTCTGACCATGTCAGGCAGATTATGACATTGTGCCTGTGACCATGCCAGACGGATTGACGTTATTAGCACGTGAGTTGTCCGTGCAATACGTGAGTTATCTATGCAGATCCAGATATTGATATTATAGCATGTGAGTTGACCGTGCAGCGTGCGGATAGAGATTCATCCCCTAAGGTCACCCTTTCATATATTTCTCTTGATGGTGTACACGCGGATTGTGAGAAACTGATGGGTTTCTGGTTGATGTGAGTTCTAGGAGAGCTAGTTACTGTTATTGGATCGGGTTGTGTACCCCCAACTAACTGACATTTGGTTATTGTATTTCATCTTTACTTATAATTTCCTTGACTGTTTACCTGATTTACTTGCATATTTTCCTTATATGCTGGATTGTTGAATGAGCAAAACACTTTAAATCTAAGAATTGTGAGCATCAAAAATGGTTTTACCTAAGATTTCCTAATTTGATCACTTAATTTTTCTATACTTGTTGAAATTATGAACTGCACATGTGTTAGTAAGTATCATATATAATTCTTGCTTCTTTTATATCATTGAGGTTAGTTAGGATACTTGTTGAGTACATGCGGTCGGCTGTACTCATACTACACTTCTGCACCTTGCGTGGAGAGCTTGGTGTTTATGATGTTGTGTATGGTAAGGGCTGGCATTGAAGATGTACGTGCGTTCAAGCTATGGTTATCACTTATCCTTGGTAGCTTTAGATTCCAGTTCTATTCATGTATAATCCAAATAGATGTTGTAATTATTTCAATTCATTTTTTTATTTATAAAAATCTAAGTCTTAGTGGCTCATGACTTGTAATACCAGTCCTTGGGGAGTTGTATAAAATTTAGTTAATTCCTTCTTGATTCTTAGCATTATTACTACAATATATTTTATTGTTATCTGGCTTACCTAGCGGGTTGAGTTAGATGCAGAGGTGGACCCCCAGGATTTTAACATGATGGGGGTACAATATTCTGCTCAACAAGTGCCCCCTAAAAACTTTTAGTGTTCAGGGTGCCAAGTGCTTTAAATTAACTATTTTCAAGGTATATACATATACATATACAAAAAAATTGCCGAAACTTACGGGATCCAGTGACCCCTCATTGCAATATGTAGGTCCGCCTCTGATTAGGTGTCATCATGACGGTTTGTATTTTGAGTCGTGACAAATTAGTATGTACGAGTTCGATTGAACTCAATAATTTTGACTCAAATATCGTGTATATTAAGAAATTCATAAAATAAGACTAAGTATTAAATTTCAAACTCAAGTACTAACATTTGAGGTAAATATCCTAGATTCATAAACCTAAAATTTAAATGTTGGATTTGTCTTTCTGGAAGCTTAGTCGGAGTGTTTATTAGTAGAGGGGGCCACCCCATGAATAAGAAAAAATGGAGCAGCTCATGGCTTTGTCGGTGTTTCTTGCTCAAGGTTGTTCGATCTATTATCCAAAAAATCACAATTATTAGAATCCATAGAGAATTTGCATCTATCCTATTCACGCCATGTGCAATGTTTTATATTGGATCCAACTTCTTGTTTCATTCAATAGTGTTAACTCTAAATGGACAAATTTTTATGTTTCAATAATGGAAAGATGAGCTCGTTTTGTGATACTTTTGTTAATTATCATTTACCGTTTTGACTATATTATTATTAATATTGTGAGTAAAATTGATAAGATGATTTATACACCCTATCTAGAATAGTTCGGGATTGAGTCCTGTTTATTATTTGATATTATATAACAATTTGAGTACACGATATTTTTAAGGTCTCTTTAGCATAAATGTAACAATCTGAAAATCTCACGTTCGAATTCCAAGTATTACACCACTAGCGAGTTTATTTGTTCCAAATTCAGTGAGTAAATTTTATTGAGAAATTCATAAAATGTCAAATGAATTAGTCGATATACCACAACATAATTAATATATTACAATTAATCGATGTACCTTCAAAGTCAAGAATCTTAAGGTTGGGCTTTAAATTATACATCCGCCTCCAAGGATCATATAACTATTAATATTCTTTCACGATGGAGTTGGCAACCAAGTTTTTATCATTCAAGTATTCAAATTCATAAAATAGAGAATCTTTTGGTAAAACACATTTTATCTGTTCAGGATTTGTAGTTGACCAGTCAGACTAATGAGTTCCGGACAATCAGATAGGTCAAAGCGGAGCCAAGATATAAAAGCGGAACCTGCTTACCTCGGATGCAAAACCGAAAGAACCATGCTTTTTTTCTTATAAGAGCCTCCTCATCCCATAACTAGTTTAGTTATTAGGTTTACCATTAAATAATTATATATATTTAATAAATTTTTAATACAAATATATAGTTTAAACAAAAATTACTGGGTGCATCCAAATACGTAACTAATGCGATAGCTCCTCCCCTGAGATAGGTAAAAACCAGAAAAGGGATGTCAAGCTTTTAGAAAGTAATTTTGTTTCGTTAATCACGATTTTGAGTCCCTTTGGACATAAGATTTTTTTATTTTTTTTAATTTTTTTTTCAAAATCAGTGTTTGATCATAAAATTTCTAATTTCACTTGAAAATTGAATTTTGAATTTTTTGAAAATATTAAATAACTCCAAAAACTATTTTTCCAAATTTTTACTATATCACTCACAAAAATTCAAAAACAACTCAAAATTATATTCATGTCCAAACATAACTTTTAATTTTTTTTTCACTTTTTTTTTTGTCATTTTACAATTCTTATGTCCAAATGACCACTATATTTCTGTTTCCAAAAAATTTAAAACTCAATAACTAAAAAACCCGAATTAGATAAAAATCCAGCCGATTACACATTTATCCAACTGCACTTTGTCACTTGACAACATGAAACCAATAATCTTGCTCTAGCGTGTAAAGATTAAGAATTAAGAATATACATACACCAGATATAAACACAAACTCAGAACCAACTCTCTCCTCCCTCCATTTTCCCCCTTCCTACAGAGAAAGAAACTCGAATTTTTAGAGAGAGAAAGTGGAATTTTTGCAGGGAAAAATGGCAGGAGGGAGAGTAGATCTAGACGGCAATGTTATAAAGCCGATGAAAATATGCATGATCGGCGCCGGTGGTTTCATTGGGTCCCACTTATGTGAGAAGCTGATGAATGAAACGCCGCACACGGTGCTCGCCGTCGATGTTTACAGTGATAAAATCAAGCATCTACTTGAACCGGGTGATCTCCCTTGGACCGGTCGTATTCAGTTCCATAGAATTAATATTAAGAATGATTCTCGTCTTGAAGGTCTCATCAAAATGGCAGATCTGGTAATTTCACTGCTTTTGTGTATATATATATATACCGATTAAAAAGATATTTACATTTATGTGATATTCTCCCCTTTTTAAGTCTGTCTTAAGAAGAATGATACATTTTTATATATAGAATCAATTTAATTTAAAACTTCTCAATTTACTTAAATGTGATGTGAGCAACGCCGTTCTGCCATTTACAATAGTTGTTGTCATATATAATGTGTTTTCTATGTTGGAATTTTATGTATTTAAGTTCTGCTGGTTGCTTTAAGTTCTTTTTGGGTGTATTTTCCTTGCTACTTATTTTGGAAAATTTTAAAAATCGAAGCATAACGAACTGAGTCTCAATTGATCTGATAGGAAAGCCGCAATGCGATTACTGCTTCTTGTTGAATTTTTCCTATGTTTGGACATTAGGATGAGGATTTGCTGTGTGTATTGCAACATTCTTCAATTATTGGAAGTTCATTTTTCTTTTTTCTTTTAGTTGCTATTTCTAAGATTTGTTCTTATTATTTTTCGTTAAGTCAGTAGCACATTTCATGAAGAGCTTGAATTTTTTTAAAAATAAGAGTAAGCATTTCTTGGGATCTGTATGTGAATTTAAAATCTATTTTGATTTAAAAATCGATTCTTTGTCTTGATTCTAGGGAGAATTTTGACGATATAGTTTAATTTTCATTGTAATTATGGATTATCATAAACTTCTACATATTTTCAGATTTGTTTCCCTAGAATTTTATATGTTGATCCAAGCAAGTCTTTTGGCTATTGCTAACGTTTTGATTTCTTGTGATATAGGTTGTAAACCTTGCTGCGATCTGCACGCCAGCTGATTATAATACCCGTCCACTTGACACAATCTACAGCAACTTCATTGACGCTTTACCAGTGGTATGCATATCAAATTTGTAACTTCACAATTCACATAGTTATTATAAAAAAAATGAGTGTAGTTTAAAGAGGGTTTCTATTTGTAACTGATAAAGCACAATTTTGGATCTGGTGGGTTGTCACTTGTCAGAAAGGTTTCACGTTTTCTGTTGGTAGTTGAGGTGTGAAGTTGATGTTAATTGCTGATTCAGGTTAAATACTGCTCAGAAAATGGAAAGCGTCTCATTCACTTTTCCACTTGTGAAGTTTATGGGAAAACCATAGGTGCCTTTTTGCCCGAAGACAGCCCATTGCGACAGGTAAGAGTTCACTTTCTTCATGTTATTACTCTTGTTAAGAGCCCGTTTGGATTGACTTATTTTAAGTGCTTTTAAGCCAAAATAACTTTTAAGCCATTTTGTAGTGTTTGGATAGAGTAAAAAAGTGCTTTTAAGCATTTGTTTTTAAGCTAAAATGACAAAAACAAGCCAAAAGCCAAAAGTTAGAATTCCTAACTTATGGCTTAAAAACTATTTTGGCTTAAAAGTCACTTAATATAAGCCCATCCAAACGGACTCTAAATGTCAAACTTCTCCAAAATCTTGATCTGTATTTTCTATGTGCCTCATGTTTCATATCATGTAAATTCTTGAACTATCCTTTAATTGTGATATACTTCCTGTTTTCTCAAAAACAAAGGGGTAATATGGTACTAGTGATGCATACTAAACTGTTTTTTTAATGAAAATGATATTTGATAAACGGAAAAGGGTCTGATATACCTCTCTACTTTATTGTATAATCCTATCCCCCATTATACTTTTTGGCCATACTTGTCGCTGCCGTCTGCCACAGGTTTAAATTTACCTCTCCTTTGACAGAATTGATACGTGCACCCTCTAATCAAAAGACCTAACCCATAAACTAAAAATGCCATACCCAAATAAAACCCAAGATCCAGCCGACCGTTTTCCTCTTATATTTCTACCCAAACCCTGAACAATAAATACGCCTTAATCCCAACTGAGTTGGGCTCAACTGCATGTATTCTCTATGTCTATCCTGTGCAATTTAGCCCTGTTTTATTACATTACTTAAAAATTAGGGTTCTCTAAAACTAGACAGTTTCTAGATCTCACACGTATCAGCTGCAAGTTAACATCATCAGATCAATCTACAGGGAAATTCTTCTTCATTTTACTCTGTAATATTGTCTCTGTTAGTTTACAAATATGTATAGTGTAGTCTTGTCCCACATTGGAAAAAGAGTAATATCTCCTTGTAGTGTATAGCTATAAATAGGGACTTTTTGTATTGCATTTATTATCTAATATCAATAACATATTTTCTCCCGTGCCTTCTCACATGGTATCAGAGCATTAGTGAGAAACCCATCACTGTGCATCATTCCAGCGACTTCCGGGAAGAAAGACCTCTTCGCCGTGCAATTTTCCGGCGACTTAGAAGGCTGTCTGTAAGCAAATCACTTTCTGTTGGTGTTGTGCAAAAACCACCACCACCACAAGACTCCTCAGGCTCCGGCGACCAAACCCCAGTCAACCCCACCGGAAAACACACGTCCACGCGCCCTCACGCGCCCAGAAAAGAAAAATTGTTCCGGTGAGATCTGACCGGCGCGTGAGCACTGTTTCGGCCAGATTTTGAAAAAGTTCCAGTTGAACTGTAGGATCGCCTGGCAATTTCGATCCTACCCTCACTGGTTTTGTTTCATTCCGACCACTTTGAGTTTTTCCGTCAGCTACAGTAGATTCCGGCATGAACAGTGTTTCGGCGCGGAACAATGTTCTGTTTTCCTACTGTAAACAGTGTTTTTCAAGCTATTTCTTCAGTTTTCTCACCGGAGTTACTTATTTCCACTATTTCAAGTTAACCCTACTACTGCAAATTGTAGCGACATGGGAACCGATACTTTGAATAGTCGGATGGTTTCTTTAGCAGATTATATTGAGTTCCTTCAGTACAAAACATGTAAGCAGACATCTTTTGAGATAGCTTCTGTTGTTTAAACAGGTAATAGCGTGACTTGTTTCTCCCAATCTTCATCCTCTGAGTCTTGGGTCATTGATTCAAGTGCATCAGATCATATTTTTGGTAACAAATCTCTTTTCACTATTGATTCAGTCCTTTATGTTCCCAATAGTCCTTTTAATCTCATAGCTGTTAGTCGCTTAGCGAAATCACTTAAATGCGCTGTTTTATTTCTTGATGACCATGTTTTTATACAAGAACGCAGTACGGGGCGGATCATTGGTACCGGGCGTGAATCAAATAGACTTTATTACTTATCCTTGCTAAATCACATGGACTCACATCTTGTCTTCCTTCTACAACTTGTCCTGTTACTGATTCACCAAATTTATTACATAAACGGTTGGGACATCCTAGTTTGTCAAAACTTCAGAGAATGGTATCTTGTTTATCTCACTTGTCAGCTCTAGAGTGTGAGTCATGTCAGCTCGGTAAGCATACTCGCTCCCATTTCCCTCGGCGTCTTGATAATCGAGCAGAGTCACCTTTTACTTTAGTCCATTCAGATGTTTGGGGTCCTAGTCGGGTCAGTTCCACCTTGGGATTCCGCTACTTTGTCAGTTTCATTGATGATTATTCCAGGTGCACTTGGATATTTTTGATAAAAAAATGATCTGAGCTGTTTTCTATTTTCCATACCTTTCACGCTGAAATTCAAAATCAATGTGGGGTTTCTATTCACATTTCGTAGTGATAATGCCCGAGAGTATTTGTCTTCCCCATTTTAGCAGTTTATGAAATCTCATGGGATTATTCATCAAACATCTTGTCCATACACATCTCAACAAAATGGGGTAGCTGAAAGAAAGAATAGACATCTTATTGAAACTGCTCGTATCCTACTCGTACATTCTTATGCTCCGTTTCGTTTTTGGGGGGTGCAGTTCTTACATCTTGCTATCTTATTAATCGTATGCCATCTTTAGCTATCCAGAACCAAGTTCCATTCTCTATCATGTTTTCCCGCTTGCCTTTGTTCTCTCTTCCACCTCGTATCTTTGGAAGCACTTGTTTTGTCCATAACCTTGTTCCAGGATNTAAGTTAGCTCCTCGTGCTCTTAAGTGCGTATTTCTGGGTTTCTCGAGAACACAAAAGGGGTATCGATGCTACTCTCCTGACCTCCAGCGGTACCTTATGTCCGCTGATGTTACCTTCTTTGAAACCCAATCATACTTCACAGGTTCAGGTCTATCACTTAGATATTTCTGAGGTACTACCAGTTTCATCTTTTGGAGATTCAGTCACTCCAGCTCCACCACCTATAGCTCCAGTTGTAGCTCCACCACCTATAGCTCCAGTTCCTCCACATAATCCAGTTCAACCTTATGCAGCTCCACCATTCTTGACTTACTGCGCATCAGATTCTGCACCTACTGCGGACTTGTCTCCTCTTAGTCAACCAATTGCACTCTACAAAGGTGTACGATCCACACTTAATCCTAATCCCCACTATGTCGGTTGAAGTTATCATCGCTTGTTGTCACCTCATTATGCATTTATATCTTCTTTGTCCACTGTTTCTATCCCTAAGTCTATAATAGCATCTGTTCGTCTCTTTTTGTCCATGGCTGTTGTACGTCATTGGCCTCTTTATCAGTTAGACATTAAGAATGCTTTTCTCCATGGTGATCTTGAGGAAGAAGTTTATTTGGAGCAACCATCTGGTTTTGTTGCTCAGGGGGAGTTTAATGGTTGTGTGTGCAGATTGCGCAGGTCACTATATGGTTTGAAACAGTCCCCTCGAGCTTAGTTTGGTAAGTTCAGCACAATTATTCAGGAATTCGGCATGACTCGTAGTGAGGCTGATCACTCTGTATTTTATCGGCATTCTGCTCCTATCTAGTGGTTTATGTTGATGATATTGTTATTACTTGCAATGATCAGGATGATATTACTAATCTGAAGCATTTCTTTCAGCACTTCTAGACTAAGGATATGGGCAGATTGAAGTATTTTCTAGGTATTGAGGTCGCTCAGTCTAGCTCAGGTATTGTTATTTCACAGCGGAAGTATGCCTTAGACATTCTTAAGGAGACTGGAATGATGGGTTGCAAACCTATTGACTCTCCTATGGATTCGAATGCTAAGCTTCTGTCTGGACAGGGGGAGCCTCTTAGAGACCCTACGAGATATAGGAGGTTGGTTGGCAAATTGAATT